AATGAGAGTGTGGTTCCACTGTCAGTTTCCCCTCACGTTCACTTCCCGGTTTGAAAACACGAAATGGTGACTGTCAAATCCCTGGTAGCTATGACCATTCTTTTTACTGTCTGTGACCGACAGGGAAAAAATAGGTGACCCTGATAAGTAATGACACATTGAGTAAGATGGAAATGTGGATTATAAATGATTTTTTCCATAATGTCAGACAGAATATATGTCCAGTTAATAGCAAGAATGTTTGGAGTCATCACCTAGAAGTTAGCCTGTAAACCTTTTGCTTTAAATTTTTGTTTTAAACACAATTTAGTTTCAGCTAAGTCTCCAGTTTGTGTCAGTGTCCTATGAGTCCAGTAGTGTCAGCTAAGTGTCCTGTGCTGGATTATTCTCACTGACTATAAATTTCAGACGCACCACTGTGAGGATGGCCTGCTTTGGCCAGTCAGAGGAACTCTCATTTATACAGTTTTATATATAAGGCAATACTCGGATTGCTGCCTTACTAGATATGTTTCCTGCTTGCAGTGAAACATGCTGGTGGTTATTCTCTTCATCTGCAAGGTTACCTGTTGCTTTCTGTTCCATTTCCACAAACTGAACTTTGCAAAAGTGCTTTTGTCTGTGTAGCACCGCTGGCTTGGAACGGACTGCAGAACTACTGGAAAATGACAGAATTCATTTTATTAAGTGCTTCTTGAGACTAATTCCACAACATGCAACTGTTAGATTTCTTGTCATTTTAATTGAAGTTTCATTTTAGTTGTTTTTGTGTGTGTTGTTGTTGTTGCCTGTGTTTAATTGTGTAGTTGTTGTAACTGTGAGATACTTGCTGCTGCCTATTTTGGCCAGGTTTGCCGTGAAAGATAGGTTTTCAATCTCATTGGGATCTTTGTGGTTAAATAAAAATAAAGTTTCAGTTTAGTGTTCAATAGTTTCAATGTAAGCTTTTTTTTTTCTTTTTTTTTTTATTAGTATAATATGGCAACACTGATGAACACTAAAACTGTGGACATTTTATGTATAGTTATATAAATATAATTCATTTTTACTTCAGTCCATTATCTTCTCTCATTATTGGCAAAAATCTCGTTTCACTTCATTTTTAGCTAACTATAATAAACAAAAAATGCAATTATTTAAAAAAAGGCTGCTGATTGCCTTAATTAGTTTAAGCTGATTAGGAAATGTTTTTGGAATTCAAACGTTCTTCGGATAAATGTTGCATTTAGTGGTTATTTGCAGATAAATTAAGGCATTTTAATAAGTCAGCCTAAACATTTTCAGTTTTCATGGTGACTTTTGAGAACAAAACATTCTTCCTTAGGTAAGCACAAGTAAATTATCATTAATTACATAGTGTAATTATTGATATTTTAATAGGATGGTTACTTTCTGGTCTCTGCTGGTCTATTTTGTATTGAAAGCAGCTTTGTTCTCCATCTAAACACACTGAAGCAGAGCATCCATTGTTGCTGCTGTAGCCAGTGTATCGTGCATTGCAGGCTGGAGCAGTGGGTATATCTTATATATGTGTGTTTGCATGTTTTCCTCCAGCGCATGTTGATTTTAATACCAGTCCTGCCATGTTCCAGCTGATCAAGAACCTAAATCCCTCTCTCTCTGTCTGTGTGTGTCTCTCTCTCTCCCACCCCCCTCTGCGGTATTAGAGGGTCCGAATGCACTGGCCGCCGCAGTAGACCCACTGGCATTGAACTCTCTCCAGCTAATCCATTTGTATGTTTTCAATTACATATCGGCGGCAATGGAACAAGTGGACAGTAAGCTCCTGGCTTCTGCCTGGAAAACGCTGTCCCCTTGTGACCTAAATATCAAGCTAAAGAAGAGAAGTGGGGGGTAAAACAAAACCAAACCATACAAAATAGGTCACATATTTCCCAGTTCCACTCCACAGGATTGGATTGTGCTGAGGAGGAATAATCACGGTCATGTTTGAATCTGACAGGCGGATTGCAGGGCTGCTGCCTCCCCCCCCAATCGGTCATCTAGGACGGGCCAACTGGCTGAAGGGATGACTCAGTTTTCTGTGGCAAGCTTCGGTGGAGTTGCACACTCCGTTTTGGCTCGGTTGTAACCTCAGACAGCAGAAAATCACAGGGACTTCGTCCACGGTCTTCAGCTTGGTTGGTGCAAAAATGAGTTTACACATAAAAATAAACAGCATGAACAGAAAGACATTACATTACAGCTGAGATGTCCAGGGCATTAAAATGGGATGAACCACATTAGAGGATATCAGTTTTTCCCTCAGTTATTTTCAAATCCCTCAACTCCATTATTATTTTCTCATTTAATTCTCCCTGCTCCTGGAGCTCCACCGTTAAGTCTAGTTTTCTGTCTGGCTTTCGCTCCTCTGTCACCGTCTCTTCTGTTTCTGGTCATTACTCACCATTATCAGGGGAACCTGTTTTTGGCTCAGCAGACCTCCAGCTGAACCTCCAATCCTCCCTTTTCCCATCCATTCCATTCGACTCCACACACCACCACACACACACCTCTGCTTCGTACAACCTGATGAAGAGCAGCTTTGACAGGCTCATCAATAACTCAAGGAGGCTTGAACACACAAGCAGCTGCAGCCGGAGGAGATTTTGAGATTCATGAATCTATTTTTTTATTTTTCAGCTGTGTCTTTTTAGCATCCCCGGCTGCCTCTAATATACATTCAACATCTCGCCTTCTTTACTTCCTAACACGTCCTCTGCTTTCCCACATCCTTACAAGCTTTCTCTCCATCAAGCAGAAGTCCTTTCATAAATGTCACATCACATCAGGCAGCGCAGCGTCGGTGGAGCAGACGATGCAAAAGAAAAGCGAGACAGAGGAGAGGGGGCACACCAAAGGTCCCCTGCCTTACCCAGTCGTGTCTACCTTACCTTGAAGTAAAACTACATCAGGGAGCAGAAGAGTTAGGTCCTCTTCTTCTTTGGCTTCTCCCAGGTTTTACCGTTTACTGTCTGATATTCCTGTGTGGCACTGAAGACGTTTTAACCCCTATGTCTAATTCAGAAGTTCACATGTAAAACACAAGCATCCTGACATGCTCATGTGTTCTCCCTTTTAAAGAGGTGGGTGATGATGCAAAGAATGGTGGAGGAGGTGAGATCTTGAATGTTGCAGTTTGGCAACTGGATAAGAAGTAAGCCCACACATAAGGAGTAACAAGGTCAAATGTGCAGGTCTCTTTCTGAGCTTACACATGGCATAACAAGCGTTAGAGTGATAAGTGTGCATTGATGTCTGATTCCTTCCACTTTATGTATGCCTGCAGGTATGTGAGCACATGTCGCCAGCAGCCTCTGTACTTCCGGTGTGCGGCGCATCTAATGTATAAACAGAGACAAGTTTAACCCGGCACGCATCACTGGCTCTGTGTCGAGCGCGCTCCACTGAGCAGGGGAAAGTTTTCATGTTTGGCATTATGTCAAAGTGCTCCTTTAGAAATAACTCATGCATCAGTAATTGGCAGTCCTCAGAGCGTGGCTCTGTGGCGGCGGCGAGTTTGACCGATTGTGCCCCATATGATGTATTGCAAAAAACAATGCTTGGGAGTGTGCTGCTGCACTATTATCGCAGACTGAAGGGCTGCATGTGCAAAGTTTGTCAGGCAAAGTTGCCTTTTGTAATAAACTCAGAGGAGAACACGAAAGCTTTAAATCCCAAAGCAAAAAAAGTTGCTATATTTTGTTGCTGAATACTGAATAAAACATTGTATTGATCAAGTACAAGTTCAGCTGTAAACAGTTGGCAAAAGAATCTCATGGGTAGCACTTCAGGAGCTTCTAAACACCCAACACAATCTTCTTTATCATGTTAGCTTAAAAAGTTAAACCTAAAGCAAATGACCTTCCAATTTCAGCTTAAATCAATATAAGTTTAGTTGTAGCATTACTAGTTGATATTTCATTTAGAGATTAAGTTGGTGATCTAAAAATAAGTGCACAGGAAGGATGCATTATTAATGATTTACTAATCTTTAAACTCTCTGATGATACCAGAAACTAATTGTCTATATAGTTTGGAATATTCTTATTCTCAGTATTTACTGACACTCTGACATTTCAGACTAATGATCAAAGACATCCTAGGACATACCGTCACCTTGTTTTTCTTCTCCTGATCAGTCCAAAACAGAAAGCTATTCAGCCAATATTAAACAGAGAAAAATCAGCAGATGTGTAAAAACCACTAAATTGATGTTGTTTTACCTTGAAATCAATAAATTGGTCATTAAAATGACATATTTTCACTTTCGGAACAGTTTGGGTCAAGTTACCTTTAAAAACCTTAAAATTAATTTATATTACAAGTATATTGAATCCATTATTGAATCTATTATTTCAGAGGATTACCAGTTGAGACGAGCAGCCCATTAAAGTTATTTTTCTCTACCACAAGTGAACAGCTCTCACAATTCTGTAAATGTTATCAGTGGACTGATAACATCCAGTGGGTGACAGTTCCCTGCATGCATCCTGCTATGATGTGGAGTTGAGTAGAGAAACCAAATGCAGGACACTACAATCAGAACTAAACTAAAACTGAGCCTAGACACAAACACAGAAATGAAGTAGAGGAAGGCACAAATAAACTACTACAAATGCTACTCCTAATTTACCTGAAACAAAATGTGAGCTAAAACAAAACTAAAACTGAGCACTGCAATGAAATTAGAAACCAAAGCTTCAAAACCAACACAGCTCAGACTCGCACAAAGGAAAGAACGGGTCGTTCCAAAGAGCTCACTGAATGTCTTCACCCTGATCAGCTGTAAGTGGTGTTACTGCGAAGTGAAGGCCTTTGGGAACCACAACAACTCAGCCATGAAAATCCAAAATAAATTCAAACTTGTGCCCTCAAACTTTGTTTTTTTTTAAATGTCATTTTAAAGTCAACATTTGTACTTTTCAATCATTCCACCCTGGAAAAAGAACAGTTCAAATTAATCATTAATAAATCCCGTTTTGCCCCACTGGCAACAATTGTTGCCAAAGTTTATCACTGTCATTTTCGACTCACAATAAAAAATCTCAAAGGTACTAATGCAACTTTTTCCACTTATATGCTAGTAGACAACTTAGACAAAGGTTTTGATTTTTAAAAAATCGTTTCCAAGTGCTTCCTATCGCATGACATCATCTGCTTCCCGCTCTTTCTGGCTGAAGACATGGCGGATGCAAATCATCCTGGAAAGAGGTAATTTTCATAAATTTCTTATGACTTTCCCCCCAAACATATTTATAATTATTTAATCATTCAAGTCTCTAGAGTAACCCTCCCCCAAAAAATTGTACCTAGGATAAATATTTTTTTGTTCATGGGCTTATTTCTGTGAGTGGCAACAAAAGTTGCCAGTGGGCACATAGCATGTCGCTAACTAAAAGAAAACACTGTCTGCAGGATTGCTCCTAATTTACTTATTTAAAATTGTAGAATGATGTACAATGGCTCATTTTAGTCCTTTTAGAATAATTCCTAGCTAAATAAATTCACAGGTATTCAAGGCCTCTGTGTATAGGATTTTTATACATTACCATACATCATTTTCTTGCTAGCTAAAATTCGCTTGCTAGCTAACATGTATGTTGTCCTTTCCTTAGGTACACCGTAGCAGAGATCCTGGCCATGCTGCAGGACTCTGAAACTGTGGCGGACATCACAGTTGTGCCTGAGTCAGAAATGCACGCACATGACACAGACTGTGACAGTGACCAATCTGATGATGAGGCCACTGGTGACCATAACCGCCTCCCATCAAGAATACTCAAAGGTGAAGGCTTTCTACCTAATTCGGACATGCAGCTGCCAAATCCCCCCGATGATGATCCTGGGTGCTCATCCTCAGTGAGTCAGACAGAGACTAGACAGAGACTAGAAAGGTCAGTGGCACAAATGAAAATGTGACCAGTCAGATTGTTGGGCCCATGCTCCACAAAACTAAGAACCAAGACAGGAAATTCAAAAAAATCAAAATTGCGGCCAAAGCACCAGCACAAGCCAACAAAAAATATCAGATCCCTCGCTATATCCCCAAAGAACATGATCCTGGCTTCACATCAGATGATCCAGTGGATATCTTCCTCACATTTTATCCCAAGTCCCTCAGAGATGTCACACTGGAAATGTCCAATCTCTACGCTGAACAAAAAGGGAAAACGCTCAACCTGACTGAGGATGAACTTCTTACATTCTACGGTATTCTGTTGATCAGTGGATACAACACAGTCCCAAGGCGGCGTCTTCTCTGGTCAGACGATTGTGATGTCAGCAACAATGCTGTAAAAGATGCCATGCGGAGGAACAGGTTTGATGAAATTATGTCTTCTGTTCATTTAGTAGACAACATGAAGATCACAGCTGACCCGTTCTTCAAGGTGCGTCCCCTTTTTAAGCATCTAAATGACATCAACAACGCAATCCCGATAGCAGAACATGTGGCAGTAGATGAGATGATGATTGAGTATTTTGGAAGGCATGGGTGCAAACAGTTTATTAGAGGGAAGCCTATTCGTTTTGGGTATAAAATATGGAGCTTAGCATCCTCCTCCGGGTTTGTCCATCAGATGGAGCCATATGTAGGAAGCCACACACATCTGGTGGAAACTGGATTTGGTCAGGGTCCAAGTGTGGTTCTTGGCCTGGCAGAGAAAGCTGAAGTGCCACCTGGAGTCAAGTTTTACCACGACAACCTCTTCACAACCCTGTCCCTGGTGGATGAGATGACCCTGAGAGGCTATGGCAGCTGTGGCACGATGCGACAAACTCAGCTCCATAACGTTCCCTTCACAGCACCCCAGACCTTCAAGAAGACACCCAGAGGAGATGCTGAGTATCTGGTTGAGGCAGAGAAGCTGATTGTAAGGTGGAATGACAACAGCGTGGTCACCGTGGTGTCGAACATGGAGAGGGAGTTCACCGAAACTGAGGCGAAGAGATGGAATAAACAGAAGCGGACTATGGACAAGGTCAGACAGCCCAAGTGTATCCAGGACTACAACACACACATGGGAGGAGTGGACCTGCATGACCAGTTTGTCAGCCGCTACAGAGTCAACATCCGGTCCAAGAAGTGGTGGTGGCCATGCTTCAGCTGGGCCCTGAACAGTGCCATGGTGAACAGCTGGTGCTATTACAGGTACACAAGGCTGTATGTTATTTAGTGATATCACAATCGAGTTGGTGATGTTTGACTCGAGGTCATCGCTAGTGCTCTTCGGTCGACAAGAGCAACAGTGATGATATCCAGACCAACATCACAAACTCAAGTGTGATATTGCTTTTACAGAACATTCTACATATGGGGCATGACGTTGTAGAAAGGATGAAACGATGCACATTCATGCATCTATCATGCTTGTTTTGTCATTCATTTAGGTCCTGGAAAAGCGGGGAGAAGGATCTCCTCTCCTTCCAGAGGCTGGTAGCCCAGACCCTCCTCCTGCGCCATGGAACAAAGCCAAGTAGGCAGGGCAGAAGATCTTCAATGGCGGTGGCGATAACTGATGCCACCAGGTTTGATAATTTGAACCACTGGCCCTGCAACACTGGTAGCAGGTACAAGCGATGCAAGAACTGCGGCGGACGCACATCATTTGCGTGTGGAAAGTGTGATGTGCCACTACATGTGGAGTGCTTCAAGAAGTACCACACTGAGTAGAACATGCATGAAAGATGATGCAATGTATGGGAAGAAATATGTTATATATGTATATATGTTTTTAGAGGTTCTAAGAAAAAAATGTTTGTTGAGTTTTTGAGTATAAAAAAATTGAGAATAAAGAAATCAGTTCAAATTGTTTGATGTTTTGAATTTTATACAGGGGGAACCTGAGGCTCCACCTTTTTGTTATTATTTATTATGACTATATTATTATTTTGTTCTTATTATATTATTATTATTACTTCTCTATTATTATTATTAGGTGACATTTGACCTAGTGACAAGCTGTGTGACTACTGGCAACAATTGTTGCCAGTCATAAAAATGCTATTTTCTTCAAAAAAAAGTACAAAATGGAAAAAATAAATACATAACATGATTCAGAGGGACTCAACTGATAAAATGATATGCCTTACAACTCTGAAAAAAATCTGGGCACAAACGGGTTAAAAGCTCAAAATTACCACGATGTTCATGCCTGGATGGAAACTTCTGACTACCACTGTATACGACTATATAGAAATGCTAGTATGCACTGGTACAAATGTTACTTTTTGACTTGTTGCAGCAAAAGAAACTGAAAAATATGGTTAAAAAACACCAACAGCAAGAAAAAATGGTAACTTTGTGGCACATTAGATCATCACTGTTCGTGATAGGCAATTAAGATGTATCAAACAGCTGATACGAAACACAGTGACTCATGCAACCTGTCATTACTCATCTATGAAGCGTATCACATTCAAAACAAGTCTTCACAAAGAATGACTCATTAAAAAAAAGTTCTCAGTGTGAATACATCAACCTGACTTTGATCATGGGGAATAATAATGAGTCAGACTCAGAGAGACAGAAGAGCTGTTAATTCTTGACGGGCGTCCACAGGGAACAGGTGGGTCCGAGCGCTGTCTCTCAGGTGGTGTCGGGGGGGTCAGGTGCTGGATGGCTGCTTCTAATTAAACTGTCTCAGTGACAAGTGTATATGCATCCTTCCCAGGCCATGCCACGTGGAGCCGGGCTTAACTGAGCGAATAATGGCCGCCTGGCGAGAGAAGTGTGACCTCACGGCCCCTCCCCTCTGGCTATGTTGCCAATTAGATGAACACTAGGTAATGACTGCATTGGCGTTGTTCATCTGGATAATAGATAGGATAGGTTACGTTCGTGTTCTTGTGTGTGTGTGCTTTATTTTTGCTCACCCTGATGGAGGCCAAGCCCTCACCACCTGCTCCGGGAACGTTTTTAGGGCAGCCTGTGTCAAATTATGACATTAGGAGTTTTATTAGAGCCCTGGCACTCTATAACAGATACACAGCCTTAGGTCTGCGCTGTCAGAGTGTGTGTGTGAGCCAGCTTTGTCAGCTAAATCAAATTTGTTGCGCTCCATGGATCTTCTATTATAACAGGCTATTTCAATAAAACCTGAGTACCTCCCACCGTGGCCGTTCTGGAAAAACTGGTGCTTAAGTTTATTGCACATTAGTGACATGTACCCAAAAGGTTTCCTCATGGGTGGAATAGCCGTGCAGCACAGACACATTCGCGCACATACATTCACTCAAAATGGCAGCTAAATAGCTAACCAGGTGCTTAGCTGAACCAACAGCAGAAGAAGGGAAAACAAAGGGGTCAGCATTAAATCACCTCCATCCACAACTGTGTGTTACTGGGAAGCTCTGTGAGGAGGCACAGTGCTGATAATCAGTCCCAAGAAATCTGCAGTGTTGGGAAATGAAGGGGGGGGGGCTTATTGTCAGTCAGTTTGTTGTCATGTTAGCTTTTCATGCGCGTTCAGTCCATACATATTTGGTTTTTATAGTTTTGCCTCTGTACACCATGAAAGTGGATTTTAAAACAGCCAAGATGCAACTGAAGTCCAAACCTTAATATTTTAAGGGGTTTAACAAAACTGTTTAAGGCATTATAACCTTTTTTAGACAAAGCCCCCATTTTCAGAGACTGAAAAGTAATTGAACAATTATTTCATGGCAAACTAAACAGATAAAAGATCTGAAGTTGGTTAAATGTGTTGAAGTCGCACGGTCCATCAGTATCTCTCAAGGTGTTGATGCAAGTGGAGGTGCCTGGTGATGATGTGACTGCTTACAGAAGGTGTGCAGGGCAATACTCTCTGCTCAGACTCAGACAAATGCTGCAAACTGATCAGGCATTGCCTCACCTTGCAAATGCATAATGACCCAAAAGCAAACTGCAAAAGCAAACCAAGTTTCTCAAGGTGAGGAAATGGGATGTTCAATAACCAAATCAGTCACCTATGTCAGTCTGACCGAGCACGCTCTTAGTTACTGGAGACCAAACTGAAGGCAGAGAGACCCACAAACAAGCTGTGAATACAGGTGGCTCCAGTGCAGGGCCGGAGTGGGATGGGCCAAAGGACTTTCATCAATATTAAAAACAATCCGTACATTTAAAATAATGTTAATTAGTTTGGTGTATTTGGTGCCTCTGAAGATGGGAGATTATGTATAAAAATAACTGTAATTTATTGTTTTAAAAACCACCATGGATGTGTACAGAGGCAAAATTACAAAATAAAAATCCCAAATTTGTGGACCTCCCTGTTTCACACAACATGGGATTTTCTGCAATATCACTGCTGGAAATAATCCTTTTAGTTTTGGCAGTGGGTGATATGACACGACACCCACTGGCTCACTGTGAATTCCCAGGACAATGACTTGCTCTAACCCAATATGTTCTCATCCCAGGGTGTAATATAATGCCATTTTGCTGGATGCCACCTGTGTCACCCTATTCTCGTTGGAAATATTGGCAGCCCAGACACACCTGTCCCATTTTCAAGACCCTGTTTGGAGGTTTGACAGAGATCTTTGCGAGCCAGGCGACAGTGGTTTGTATCTCACTGAGACCTTAGTGTTTTTCATAGTGTTTCACTTTGATTTCACCCAATGATCTGTTTCATTTTCCTTTCACTCAGAATAAAAAAAAACCTACTTAGGTTTTGGAAAACATAACTGTGGTTATGTTAAAACGCGCACACTAAAACAAGACGGGCTGGGATTGATGGGCCGTCTCACTAATGCCATAACTCGAAGTGTTGAGCTCTTCTGCCAAAGGAAACTGTAAATGAGCCATGCTGCGACAAAACAGCATTAACTCACACCGCGGGAGCGAGATTGGCCATTTCATGGATTTTGAACATTTGACTGTTTGACTTTCAGCCCAATTGATGGCAGCGCACGCGTCCTCACATACAGCTCACCAGGAAATGTCCAGAAAAGTTCAGAGCTGCGGTGCATGTGTGAAAATGGATTTAGCGAGGCATCGCTGCTGCTGGAAGAGGTGCAGGGTACTCGCCTTACCCTTAGAAGAAGGGGAAAAGAAAACAGCAACTGCAGGATGGGTGGAGAGGACTGAAAGAATGCAGGAGCAGCGTTCCTCCCTTTCCCCCTGACTCCCCCTTCCTCATCACACTCCTCCAGTCCCATCATTCCTTGTGGCAGGAAATGGGGCGTGTGCCCTTTGACCTGTCAGGAATGTTTTCCTCCTCCGTCCCGGTCGCCCCTGACGGTCAAGCCCGTCACAAGCTGATAGAGTGGAGCCTATGAAACAACACCGTCACCTCCTGCCCTGCCCATCCATCCGCTTACGCACCCCTACGTGTGCGGTTTACAGAGAAATGCCTCATTCTTATCTCCACTCATTTTCTGATCTAATCACATAACTAGCTGTGTGCATCCTCTCACAAAGTGTTAACAAAAGTCAGGAAGAGGATACCTATGATTTGATGCGACACGGAGCCTAGCAGGCTCAGAGAGAGGCCTATCTGTCCCCGTGGCCCGCTGCCAGCTGCAGAGTGAGGTATTGCACTACAGCTGTGGGTGAGCTGCCTTTGGTAATGACTGTGAATGGGCTGTATCTACGGGCCATTACTCTATGGACTCAGCTGAGGCAGCAGGGTAATGCTGACTAATGGAGATTAACTTTTCGGCTGATGAATAGTATACCCCGCCGATGAGGCTCAGCAACAGCCTCTGTCCCCGTTTGCTGCTGCTTATTTGTTCGTTTTCACAGCAATGACCATTAAAAGGAAAATTAGTTGGCATAGAGCTGTAGATAAGTTGTTGTTGAATAGAAAGGGAGAGTGTATATGCTCGCCAGCTATTAAAGTGTGAATCTATTAGACTGTATAAACCAGACAGCGAATTAATTTGTGTGTATTTACCTCATTGTAGCAGCGAGATTGTTTTTCCTGCAGTAAGCGCTTTGTTAATGAGATGACTGAAAAGCAATATTGGATGCAAACAGAAGTCTCCTTTTATATGAGTTGACAATACCAATATTTGGGAGCTTCGGGCCGTGACATTAAAGAGGAATTCTGTGGTTTTAATATTTCATATAGAAACATATCAGGCATGGGCTCATGTTATGAAAATAACCCTCTGTTTTCATTTCTCCGCTGACCGTTTCTGGCAAGGTGCCCTCTGGGGCTTTTCAAGATGGCTGTTTCATCTTATCACCTATTAGATCCAGATGAGACCCAGGCCTCCTCCTTCTGACCGACCCTGTCTCAACAATTCAAAGCAGATGGTGGCTAGAGCTGGCCAAAGCCTCCATCTGAAGCTGTTGCGCCGAGACAAGATGAGCCCGTGTTAGCTAGCTTGCAAATTCTCTTCCATTAAAGGGAGCGTGATGGAATGTCAGCGGCTGTTAAGCCGAGCTGAAGCTCATATACCGGAATAATCGTTTGATTTAAAAACATTGATCCTAAATGCTGTTTTCCTTTTGCGCAGCAAAAAGTGTCAGTCAGGATGACACTGAGGCATGATCTCATAAACGTCCGAGAAACAGAATATGAAACAGAAGACTGATGAGACCCCTCCCTTAAAACACACATCATTACACCCGCACAATCCAAAGACAAGGGTCACAACACGTCACACACTCCTAAAACACTTCATTTTATGTCTCGTATGTTTTCTCCGAGGCCTCTTCCTTGGTTATACAAGATACCGGTTTATTT